GCTATCCAAAGACGTTTCCGTGGTCATGTGGCCAGCATGACTAAACACCAAGGCGTACGGAACGCTGTTTCCTTCCCACCAAAGTGGTACCTATTTATCTACTTGCAATTTCTTGCTTTCGAACTGCTAGGTTGGCAGGAGCTGGAACTAGAGATGGGAGCTCACTCCATCATGCGGCACCCGGGTCTCGAACTGCTGAACTACTGACCTTCCACAGCCTGCAGTTCAGCGTCTTAACCACTTGAGCCACCGCAGCTCCTTTTTTTGTTTGTAGTTTTTAGTAAATGGAAAATAAAAAAGTCCCCTACGGGGGGCCAAAAAACGAAACCCCCCCCCCAAAAAAATCCTAGGCACAGAGACAGCTGAGCCACTAAAGGAGTGAAGGAATTGCTATTGGAGGATAAAGGGTCATTCTTTGTTATGGAAGCTGTGGGGTGGTTGCTCACACTGGAACTATCGTTTTCAATGTGGGTATCTGTAGAACTGAGTTAAAGAGGTGTGATGAGAGAAGAGGACTAATTGAACTGACCGGTCACCGGGCCCGGATGGCATATTGAAATATGAAATTGTAGATGTAACAGTAATATGCAACATGCCATTAAAACTGACCTCCCTGCCAGAGGACTGGGCAACAGCAAACCTAATCTAAGGGAGACTGCAGGAGGAGGAGATTATAGATACACGTTAGATTTGTGAATCACCCAGTCCCTAAGTACATAGGGTTCTGGGTGATGGTTAACAAAGTTAAAAACATCAACATGATTTATTTATTTATATTTATACCCCGCCCACACTGTAAACAGGCTCTGGGCGGCTTACAGAAGACTTGTTAAAATCAGTAAATCATTCGTTCCCATATTATTAATAATCTCAAGATGGCATCATTGATTTAATTCTAAACCCTACTCCAGTCTGAGTTGCTGTCCTGTGGGCAGGCTGAGGAGGAGGAGGAGGAGGAAGAAGAAGAGATTGGATTTATACCCCACCCTTCCCTACCCAGAGCGGCTTACCATCTCATTCCCCTTCCCACAACAGACACCCTGTGAGGTAGGTGGGGCTGAGAGAGCTCTCTCAAGAATTGCCCTTGAGAGAACAGCTCTAAAATAACTTGTGACTGACCCAAGGTCACACCAGCAGCTGCATGTGGAGGACTGAGGAATCAAACCCGGTTCTTCCAGGTGAGAGTCTGTGCTCCTAACCATCACACCACACTGGCTCTCAAAGTAATGAGGCAGCAGCGAGAAGGTAGAGGAAAAGAGGAGGGTGCCCGCCATGATAGAAGCCGTCGCTGGCGGAGCATCTCTGCCTTACAGGCCCTGAGGAATGGCATTAAGTCCTGCAGGGCCCTGGTGGTATTCGGCAGAGAGTTCCACCCAGTCGGCACTAGGGCTGAGGAAGCCCTGACTGGTTGAGGACAGACGGATAAACGGGAAGGATCTGTATTCATTCCGATTACACGCATTTGAGGGAGGGGGACTCAGCAGTCGTGGTCAACATTTCGTGGAAATGGTGGGTATTACGAAGGCATTTGAAGGCAGTGAGAGAGACAGTATCCTGCAGGTGTTCCACGTGGCAGTTCCAGACACAAAGGGCAGCCAGGAAGCGTGAGATTGCCAGAGGACGGAGGGATCCAAGGGTGAGGGTTGGGTGGTTAGCAGGATGGGAACAGAGAGGTGAAGGAAGAGACAGGGATGGGAAGTTTGGGCTTGGATCTGGAAGCATGATGATCATTCATCCGTTCATTTAGGAAATTTCCATCTTGCTTCATCAGAGTCCTCCTTGGGGGCAGCCTTCAGTTAAAATTACAAAATCTCCATGTACAGAAACTCTCTCTTTTTCACCTGTACCCAGGCTGGAGTTAAGCAGCTATGGGGAAAACTTAATTCTGATACCACATTTTGGTCTGTTACTTGTGTAGTTTTAGTAGCTCATAGAATCAGAGTTGGAAAGTACCTCTGGGGTCATCTAGTCCAACCCCCTGCACAATGCAGGAAATGCACAAATACCCCCAGAGACCGCTGTTACATGCCCATAAGATGACAAAAATCCTCCAGAGTCTCCAGCCAAATTGGCCTGGACAAAAATAGCTTCCTGACCCCCAAAGTGATGATCGGCATTTCCCTGGGTGTGTAAGAAAGGGCCAGGAGAACTAAGCACTGATGCAACCCTCCCTGCCCTCCTCGCAATCTGCCTAAGTTCACAGAATCCGCATTGCTGTCTGATGGCCATCTAGCCTCTGTCTGAAAGCCTCCAAAGAAGGAGAGCCCACCACCTCCACAGGAAGCCT